CAATTGAAACAATAACATAATAAACAGTTAAACATCAATATAACATCTCATCAGTGCAGTGGTTCTCAACCTGGGGTCCCCAGATGTTTTTGGCCTACAACTCCCAGAAATCCCAGCTAGTTTACCAGCTGTTAGGATTTCTGGGAGTTGTAGGCCAAAAACATTTGGGGACCCCAGGTTGAGAACCCCAATAGCGTCTCATCAGTAGAATCAAAATCCCATCTCATCATCCGTTGTTCCGTATTCCTATATTCATTACACTGCCTATTCAAATGCCTGCTCGAACAACCAGGTCTTCACTTTCCTCCGAAATGCCAATAGGGAGGGGGCCAGATCTAATTTCTGTAGGAAGGGCGTTCCACAGCCGAGGGGCCACCACTGAGAAGGCCCTGTCTCTCGTCCCCGCCAGACGTACCTGTGATGCAAGTGGGACTGAGAGTAGGGCCTCCCCAGATGATCTTAATATCCTAGCTGGTTCATAGGAGGAGATGCGTTCGGACAGGTAAGTTGGGCCAGAACCATTTAGGGCTTCATAGGCCAATGCCAGCACTTTGAATGGTGCCCGGTAGCAGACTGATAGCCAGTGGAGCTGGCGCAACAACGGAGTTATAGAATCAAAGAATCAAAGAGTTGGAAGAGACCTCATGGGCCATCCAGTCCAACCCCCTGCCAAGAAGCAGGAATATTGCATTCAAATCACCCCTGACAGATGGCCATCCAGCCTCTGTTTAAAAGCTTCCAAAGAAGGAGCCTCCACCACACTCGGGCAGAGAGTTCCACTGCTGAACGGCTCTCACAGTCAGGAAGTTCCTCCTCATGTTCAGATGGAATCTCTTCTCTTGTAGTTTGAAGCCATTGTTCCGCGTCCTAGTCTCCAGGAAGCAGAAAACAAGCTTGCTCCCTCCTCCCTGTGGCTTCCTCTCACATATTTATACATGGCTATCATATCTCCTCTCAGCCTTCTCTTCTTCAGGCTAAACATGCCCAGCTCCTTACGCCGCTCCTCATAGGGCTTGTTCTCCAGACCCTTGATCATTTTAGTCGCCCTCCTCTGGACACATTCCAGCTTGTCAATATCTCTCTTGAATTGTGGTGCCCAGAATTGGACACAATATTCCAGGTGTGGTCTAACCAGCGCAGAATAGAGGGGTAGCATTACTTCCCTAGATCTAGATGCAGGTGGGACCGAGAGTAGGGCCTCCCCAGATGATCTTAATGTCCTGGCTGGTTCATAGGAGGAGATGCGTTCGGACAGGTAAGTTGGGCCAGAACTGTTTAGGGCTTTATAGGCCAATGCCAGCACTCGGTAGCAGACTGGTAGCCAGTAGAGCTGGCGCAACCAAGGAGTTGTATGCTCCCTGAGTGCCGCTCCTGTTAGTATCCTGGCTGCCGAGCGTTGGACCATTTGAAGCTTCCAAACAGTCTTCAAAGGCAACCCCATGTAGAGAGCGTTGCAGTAGTCAATAAGGGATGTAACCAGAGCATGGACTACCATGGCCAACGCAGACTTCCCAAGGTACACCACAGCTGCCTCATCACACTAGAGGAAAAAAATCCACTTAAAATCCAGTTTCTGCCTCTTGCAAAATTCCGGGGTTTGTAGTTTAGGGAGGAGCCTTTAACAGCCTCACTAAACTACAAACCCCAGAACTCTACAGGAGGCAGAAACCAAATTTTAAGTGGATTTCTTCTCTAGCAGCAGGATCTAATCCCTGGTTTTCTGCTTTACACTATTATTATTATTATTATTATTATTATTATTATTATTATTACTTTATTTGTACCCCGCTAGCATCTCCTGAAGGATTCGATGCGGCTCACAATAGGCCGAAGCCCAACACAATACAACAATACAACATCTAGCAAATAAAAACAGTTAAGCAGAAAAACAATAACAATGGCAATACGACAAGACATTATTAAAAATTGAGTCGGCCAAAGTAGGGGTACAAGGTTAAAAGTGCTGATGTGTCGGAGGGGTGTGGGATTATGATATAAGTGCGGTGTGCAGTGTGCAGTGATTTTGGTACTAAAGTGCTTCTGGGATTTGGTACTGGGAGAATTCCTAATCTGAAAAGGCACATTGGAACAGCCAGGTTTTCAAATTCTTCCTGAAGACTGCCAGTGTAGGGGCTTGTCTGAGATCTTTCGGGAGGGCTTTCCAGAGGCGGGGGGCCACCACGGAGAAGGCCCTGTCTCGCGTCCCCACCAAGCGCGCTTGAGATGCGGGCGGGATCACAAGCAGGGCCTCTCCAGATGACCGGAGTGAGCGTGTGGGTTCGTAGGCAGCGATTATATGTGTTGGAAATAGCAACCTTCTCACTAACCTCCACTAGTTATTATATATTATGTATATAATTCAGATTGCTTACTTACCACATTTATATCCCGCCCCTCCCAACCTCGAAGGGGACTCAGCGCAGCCTTACAAAGGCAACGATTCAATGTCATATATAAATACATTAGCTGCCCCCTGCCACGCATTGCTGTGGCCCAGTCTATGTATATGTGTTTTGAGTGTGTATATGTCTGTGTATATATTTGTGTATATGTGTATATATGGGGTTTTGTGCATGCGTTGTAATGTATTCTTTTGTTTTTTTGGCTTTTTAGCTCCCTTCCGCTGTGTTTTTCAGTGTTTTTATGAGTGATGGTCACTCGTTGGCCTTAAAGGTATATTGTGTCCAAATTTGATGTCAATTCGTCCAGTGGTTTTTGAGTTATGTTAATCTCATAAATGAATATTATATATTTATTTATATAGACTAGCTGTTCCCTGCCACACATTGCTGTGGCCCAGTCTGTGTATATGTGTTTTGTGAGTGTGTATATGTGTGTGTATATATTTGTGTGTATGTGTATATGTGTGTGTTTGTGTATATATGTGGTTTTACACATGCACTGTAGCGTCTTTTTGCTTTTTTAGCTTTTTAAGTCCCTTCCGCTGTGTTTTTCAGTGTTTTTGTGAGTGATGGTCACTCGTTGGCCTGTTAGGTGTCTTGTGTCCAAATTTGTTGTCAATTCATCCAGTGGTTTCTGAGTTATGTTAATCCCACAAACGAACATTACATTTTTGGGTTGTTGTAGGTTTTTCCAGGCTATATGGCTATGTTCTAGAGGTATTTTCTCCTGACGTTTCGCCTGCATCTATGGCAAGCATCCTCAGAAGTAGTGAGGATGCTTGCCATAGATGCAGGTGAAACTTCAGGAGAAAATGCCTCTAGAACATGGACATATAGCCCGGAAAAACATACAACAACCCAGTGATTCCGGCCATGAAAGCTTTCGACAATACATTACATTTTTATTTATACAGATTGGGAAATAAACAAAAATGTTAAAATCAAACCCATTAAAATATAGCATTAAAACATCAGTTAAAATCAGATGATCCAAATGGTATTCCAGGGCCAGTCTGAGTCATCATTATATTAATTTGTAGTCTCGTTGTATTGTATTATGTGTATATTGGTTTACAGTTTTTCTTTAACTCTTTGTTATGGGAGAGGTTGCAGACCATGTGATCAGGTCTGGGCTTGTTCAGGACTCAGACTCCCTGTCAGAACAGTATACTTACAGCAGTGGTTCTCCACCTTCCTAATGGCATGACCCCCTCATGTTGTGGTGACCCCCAACCATAACATTATTTTCATTGCTACTTCATAACTGGAATTTTGTTACTGTTATGTATCCTAATGTAAATATCTGATATGCAAGACGGATTTTAATTTACTTGACTAAATTTGGCACAAATATCAGATATGCCCAAATATGAATACTGGTGGAATTGGGCGGGGGATTGATTTTGTCATTTGGGAGTTGTAGTTGCTGGGATTTATAGTTCACCTTCTATTGAAGAGCATTCTGAAGTCCACCATTGATGGAACTGAACAAAACTTGGCACACAGAATTCCCATGACTAACAGAAAACACTAGAAGGGTTTGGTGGGCACTGACCTTGAGTTTTGGAATTGTAGTTCACCTACACACAGAGAGCTCTGTGGACTCAAACAATGATGGATCTGGACCAAACTTGGCACGGATACTCAATATGGCCAAATGTGAACAATGGTGGAGTTTGGGGAAAATAGATCTTGACATTTGGGAGTTGTAGTTGATAGGATTTATAGTTCACCTACACTCAAAGAGCACTCTGAACTCTACCATTGATGGAACTGAACAAAACTTGGCACACAGAACTCCCATGACTAACAGAAAATACTAGAAGGGTTTGGTGGGCATTGACCTTGAGTTTTGGAGTTGTAGTTCACCTACATCCAGAGAGCACTGTGAACTCAAACAATGATGGATCTGGACCAAACTTGGCACGAATACGACCTTGAGTTTTGAAGTTGTAGTTCACCTACACCCAGAGAGCTCTGTGGACTCAAACAATGATGGATCTGGACCAAACTTGGCACGGATACTCAATATGGCCAAATGTGAACAATGGTGGAGTTTGGGGAAAATAGATCTTGACATTTGGGAATTGTAGTTGCTGGGATTTATAGCTTACCTAATTGCCTTGCGTGAATGCCTTTTTCCTAAAAGGCTTTGGCATCAATTTTCAAAAGGTTACGACTTCTAACAAAGTCATGCCTTTCCAAAAAATCCTAAAATCTCCAAAAGGTTATGGAGATTTCCATTTTCCAAAAGTAGGGGTCTGCACTGTCAGATAAACTGGGATAAACAGAAAAATGTGGATCGAATGCTGGGATGGAGGGCCTATTTGGAAGAGCCTTTAGTGTCTTCCAGATGTGCAACCTGGTCGGGAGATGACGACCCTGTAGGTTGCAAATAGCTTGGCCCGACATTTCATTTGAGAGCAGCACATACCACCAAAACATGGCAAACCTCACCAAATCCATCCTGCCTGCTCCCCTGTGCCAAAAAAAACAGCAGCAACACTGAAACAATATGGGAAACTGGAATGGAAACAGAGAAACATTTCTGCTTGGTGTCTCTACATACGAATCCAAACAAGGTTTTGTGTCACTTACCAAAGTGGGGGTTTGCCTGCTGCCAATTTCTGATGGGTTGACTCCCCCCCCACACCGGACCCATGCGGCGTACTGGCCCACGAGGCACGGCTGGCGGGGGGTTACGGCTACGCTCCCGCCATGGCGTGGGACCTAATCCTGGGAAGGAAAGAAGGAAGGAGATGGTAAGGGTTGTATGTTTTGTACCCAAGAGAAAAAACCAGGCATGGGTAAGCTTCGGCCCTCCAGGTGCTTTGGACTTTAACTCCCACCATTCCTAACAGCCTCAGACCCCTTCCTTTTGCCCCTCCGTCACTTAAGCGGCTGTTAAGAGTCAGTGGGCCAAAGCCAGTGTTGTCCTGAGGAGTCTGAGACAAACCTTAGTGGGAGAAATGTCTCAGTCTGTGAGGTAGGCCTCAGTGTGAGGTAGGCCTTAGTCTATGAGAAGGCCGGGTGTGAGAAGCTTCGGTGAGGGCCCAAGTTTGCCCATGCCTGGATGAAAACATACACACACACACATACATAAATCCAAGCAGCTGTTAAGAGTCAGTGGGCCAAAGCTACTGTCATCCTGAGGAGTCTGAGACATACAGTGGGAGAAAGGTCTCAGTCTGTGAGATAGCATCAGTGTGAGGTAGGCCTTAGTCTATGAGAAGGCAGAGTATGAGGAAGGCCTGGTGTGAGAAGCTTCGGTGAGGGCCCAAGTTTGCCCATGCCTGGATGAAAACATAGACACACACATATATACATAAATCCAAGCAGCTGTTAAGAGTCAGTGGGCCAAAGCTACTGTCATCCTGAGGAGTCTGAGACAAACCTCAGTGGGAGAAAGGTCTCAGTCTGTGAGGTAGGCCTCAGTGTGAGGTAGGCCTTAGTCTATGAGAAGGCCGAGTATGAAGAAGGCCTGGTGTGAGAAGCTTCGGTGAGGGCCCAAGTTTGCCCATGCCTGGATGAAAACATACACACACAAAAATATATACACAAATCCATCCATGTCTCACATTACACAATCCCTCTGGTAAGAAGAGGCAACTAGTCCCATTCGCACACCCCACTTCCACACTGCATTTCCACACACTTCAAGACTCATGCTCAACACCGCACACAGGTCACGTGAGCGCAATTGCGCCGGATTGCGCCAAGTCAGGAAAGGAAAATGCCCAGCAGAATGGGGCCAACTACAGTTCAGTTCAGGGTGTAGAAGGGCGGTATACAAATACTGTAAACAAACAAACAAACAAACAAACAATTCTATATGGAACATACTGATCCATCACCCCTGTATCCTTGAAGAAAACAATCCTTATTGATTATTGCACCTGGAAGATGCAATAATCCCAGATACTTCTATATGGAACATACTGATCCATCAGCTCTGTGTCCTTGACGAAAACAATCCTTATGGATCATTGCACCTGGAACAAACCACGAAGATGGTATTTGAGGAATCCACGTGAGGAAAAACTCCTGTGTACCTTCCAAGTCTCCTTCATTCTGTAGAATCTCAAAGTTGCCCCCTTTTTGGCCGTTTTGGCCTCCACGCCACCACCAGTACATCAAGACTGGCAGGCACTAGGTGTTATCAACTCCATGGCAGCAACAGCTGTGACTTATCTGAATGCAGAGACTATAGTACACCAATAGTACGCCAACTGTTTTTCAGCTTCCCCTGCTTCCAGAAAGAACGGGTGATGGCACATCAAACCCAAGTTACCCGGAAGGGTCGAGTAGGAAACCACAGAACCCAGCTGCATCTTTTTCAATGTTGTAGCGATCTGACTAAAGGTAAAGGTAAAGGTTTTCCCCTTGACATTAAGTCTAGTCGTATCCGGCTCGGGTTTGATGCTCATCTCCATTTCTAAGCCGAAGAGCCGGCGTTCTCCGTAGACACCTCCAAAGTCATGTGGTTGGCATGACTGCATGGAGTGCTGTTACCTTCCCACCCAAGCAGTACCTATTGATCTACTCACTTTGGCATGTTTTCGAACTGCTAGGTTGGCAGAAGCTGGGGCTATGAACAGGAGCTCACCCTATCCACGGATTCGAAGTGCCTACCTTCTGGTCAGCAAGTTCCACAGCTCAGCAGTTAAAGCCCATAGTAAACATAAAGGTTTCCCCTTGACATTAAGTCTAGTCGAGTTGGAATCTGGGGGTTGGTGCTCATCTCCATTTCTAAACCGAAGAGCTGGTGTTGTCCGTAGATGCCTCTAAGGTTATGTGGTCAGCCCAACTGCGTGGAGCACCATTACCTTCCTGTTGAAGCGGTACCTATTGATCTACTCACATTTGCATGTTTTCAAACTGCTAGTTTGGCAGAAGCTGGGGCTATCAACGTGAGCTCACCCCATCCACAGATTCAAACTGCCAAACTGCAAGTGCAGCAGCTGAGTGGTTCAACCCGATGTGCCACCGAGCTTGGCCCCATGAGATTCCTCTTGGCTCATAGGTTTCCTGCGTCATGTTGCAAACCTCCATGGCACAGAGGTTGGCAGAAGCTGGGGTTAGCAATGGAGCTCACCCCGACCGCAGATTCAAACCACCGACCTTCTGGTCAGTAAGTTCAGCAGCTCAGAGGTTTAACCAATGTGCCACCGTGGAGCTTCACCCCATGAGCTTCCTCTTGGCTCATAAGTCCCTGTGTCATGATTCAAACCTCCACGGCACAGAGGTTGGCAGAAGCTGGGGCTAGCAATGGAGCTCACCCCGCCTGCGGATTCAGACCGCCGACCTTGCAGTCAGCAGGTTCTGCAGCTTAGCAATTTAACCTGCGGCACCACCGCAGCCTCATAGTGATCTGAGTAGGCTCGGCAATTGTGCAATTTTCGTTAGGTTATGACTCCCAGCATTCCTCGCAAGTGACTATGCCTTGCAAAGGGTGCTGGGAAATACGGGCCGACAGCAAAAACCTAATTCTCACCTCTGCCTGAAAATCTTGCAATGAGACTAGGGAGCTTTGGGTTTGAGTCTCCAGTGAGTCAAGCCTGACTAGTGAGGTTTCCCTTTCGCCCCATTCTGCCTCGCCGGAGAACAAAGGGAGGAGGAGAAGCCGCACATGCTCCGGCTGCCTTGAGTTCAGGGGAGGAGAGGCCAGATTTAAATGTACGTAACTCATAAATAAATAATGGGGATCCAAATCATCAGAGCCAAAGTAGGGGGTGGGGAGGGAGGGAGGGAGGGAAGCGTGGCTGTGTGTGTCAAAGGTATTCCGGAGTCCTTGTAGCCAAAATATGAGAAAAGGAAGCACCTGACCCAACTTGCCCGGTCCTCTGCCCTCTGGGCCCGGGCCAACACCCAAAGCCAAAATACCCACAGCTCCAGTGAGCCTGCCCTGCCCTCATCTGAACCGGCTGAGTCACCAGAATGTCAAAACCCCAAAAGAGAGAAAGCCCAGGAGGAGAGGGCAAAGGTCAAGATTTGGCACTCTCTCGCCACTGTGGCAACAAAAGGCAGCACTGGAGCATAGCCGGGACAGTTAGTTATGTTTCCGCAGAAGCACTCTAGATGTAATTTGTTGCGGTTTACATGTTGCAATGTTTAAAAAGTAACTAAAGAGTGATACTCAATGTTTTCCTTTCAAGGAGAAAATCCTTAAGACCAGGCATGGGCCAACTTGGGCCCTCCAGGTGTTTTGGACTTTAACTCCCACCCCTTCCTTTTCCCCCTCAGCCGCTTAAGCCAATTCAGGGCAATGTCCCTGCAGACAGCCAGTTCAGGGTAACATCACTGCAGGCAGCCAGTTGAGGACAACATCCCTGCAGACAGCCAGTTCAGGGCAACGTCCCTGCAGACAGCCAGTTCAGGGCAACATCTGAGGACAGGCAGTTCAGGGCAACATCCCTGCTGACAGCCAGTTGAGGGCAACATCCCTGCAGACAGCCAGTTGAGGGCAACATCACTGCAGACAGGCAATTGAGGGCAATATCCCTGCAGACAGCGGGATCAGGGTAACATCACTGCAGACAGGCAATTGAGGGCAACATCTCTGCAGACAGCGGGTTCAGGGTAACATCACTGCAGACAGGTAATTCAGGGCAACATCCCTGCATACAGCCAGTTGAGGGCAATGTCCCTGCAGACAGCCAGTTGAGGGCAACATCCCTGCAAACAGCCAGTTCAGGGCAACATCCCTGCAGAAAGCAAGTTGAGGGCAACATCCCTGCAGACAGCCAGTTCAGGACAACGTCTCTGCAGGCAGCCAGTTAAGGGCAACATCCCTGCAGACAGCCAGTTGAGGGCAACATCCCTGCAGATGGCCAGTTGAGGGCAACATCCCTGCAGACAGCCAGTTAAGGGCAACATCCCTGCAGACAGCCAGTTGAGGGCAACATCCCTGCAGATGGCCAGTTGAGGGCAATATCCTTGTAGATAGCCAGTTCAGGGCAAAGTCCTTGAAAAAAGCCAGTTGAGGGCAACATCCCTGCAGACAGTCAGTTGAAGGCAACATCCCTGCAGACGGCCAGTTGAGGGCAACATCCTTGTAGACAGCCAGTTCAGGGCAACATCCCTGACAAAAGTCAGTTGAGGGCAACTTCCCTGCAGACAGCCAGTTGAGGGTAACATCCCTGCAAACAGCTAGTTGAGGACAACATGCCTGCAGGCAGCCAGTTGAGGGCAACGTCCCTGCAAACAGCCATTTCAGGGCAACATCCCTGTTTTGGACTTCAACTTTCACCATTCCTAACAGCCTCAGGCCCTTTCGTTTTCCCCCTCAGCCGCTAAAGCGGCTGAGGGGGAAAAGGAAGGGGCCTGAGGCTGTTAGGAATGGTGAAAGTTGGAGTCCAAAACACCTGGAGATAGGGCCCAAGTTGGCCCATGCCTGCCTAAGAGTGATAAAATTAAAACCATTAGAACTCAGTCGGGAGTAATTTCAAATCGGAGACATGACTCGTTGCACCAGTAAATCCATTCCCACCAGTTATGCTGCACTTGGAAATCAAGCTTCATCATTACACAACTGTTTTATGCACACACACACACAAGAGATCTTCCAGATAATTACTGGATGTCATTCATTACTTCCAAGCTCTACATTTAAGCCCCATTTTTGACATTATAGGAGAAGTGGGCCACATGTTGGGCCACAATCTATGGGAGATGTTGACTCTAAGCTGGAATGTGTTCAGAGGAGGGTGACTCAAAGGATCAAGGGTCTGGAGAAC